TGTCTCCCACTGAGACCATGGAATTCATCACACAGCAAACAGGAACTAACAGTTCTGGAGTAAATCTGGGGTGCCACTTGATTGAACTTGCACCCAACACCAACCAAGGAAAGTCTCTGGCATCTCTGAGCTCTTCCCCCCAGTCCTTATCCCCAGGGACTCATTTTCTATGGACTTTTCCATGAGAATTTGGAGGATGGAAGTGCTGTCAGTGCAAGCACTGAGCACTGAGCCAGCAGCAGGACCCACAAGACCAGGGAAGACAACCAAACCCAGACTCTCTGAAACCCACGTTATCCTTCACCACTAAACACAAACTGTACCAAACCCACTCGAACCAGCAGCAGTTTTGACCCAGCATTCCCATTAACCCTCCCCACACTGACCCAGTGAGAATTCCCACGTTCCCTCCCCTAGGATCACCTAAAACACCCCTTTCATTTCCAAACCAACCTAAAAAGAAACACCCCACGAACTGTTATTATTGCAGCCTGAACCTGGTATCACCACACCTGCATCCCATTCCCTCCCCACTTAATTCATCCCCACAGAACACACACTCCTGCCACTGCTTTGGGCTTTCAGTGACTGCTTGGCACCCTGGATTTCAGCCTGCCAGAAACACTCTTTTCACTCCAGGTCCTTGGGGTTTAACAGGAGCAGGCTGAAGGAGGAAACTAAGATTTTCTGGGAGTGTTTTGAGGTCTTCAACGTTTCTCACACATGTTGCCATTAAGCAGATTTACAGCAGCTGAGGATTTTCTGATGGAAGCCTGGCAAATCATTCAAACACATTAAAAAGATCACAGCTAAAACTGACCACTTTATTTAAGCCTTGGAAGAGAAACAGAGGCTGTAAATGCTCAAAGCACAGAGTGTTTCTGAGTAGGCTGAGGCACAAAACCAAGAGCAGCCAAAAATCCTGTATCAGCACAATTTGGTATAAAAACATGAGTCAAACATCAGTTTAGCTGGAGATAAAGGGAAACCTTTTCAACCAGGTGATTCTCTCATATCCTAGTGATAACAGAGTAAAATAAGTGGCTTAATGTAGGTGGGAACTTTCCATGGGTGTTGGGCTATAATGGTTATATTTCCATTATATCATCAATGTCCTCCAGGCTTCTATAAGCACAATAAATACAATTAAAACCAGTCACTCACCTCCAGTGTTGTTCAACCAGCCCAAATGACAGCCCTTCCCTGAGCAATAGGAGGATCCTGGGTGGCTCTGGACGTGGCGAGTGCCTGCACGTCTCTGACACGCAGGTGAGGATTAGAGTTTGTCTCAGGAAAGACTCAGATTCAGAAATCCTACACCCTCGTGAAACCCTACCTTGCCTTGCTGTCCTTGGCTTTAAAGGAAACACAGTGCTGCAACCAGGGCTCTGGTGCATCTTCACACACAGGGTAACAACTGACCCCAAAAAAACCCCCAGACTCCTCAGGAACCACCCCCAAGGCAGAGGTTGGACCCCCAAGAGCCCAGGTCCTGAGCTGAACCCTCCCAGGGAGAGTTTTAGTACTTGGGAACAGATTTATCCCCACATGGGGTGAGGGATTCCCTTGACATTCAGACTTTCCCACTGGGCAGCAACACCTGTTTTAAGAAGTAGCATTTGTATTTTAAGACGTAATGGCACCAAAGAGTCCAGCAGTTCTTGCCTGGCAATATATGGGTCTTGGTCCAGGCTCCTGGTCCCACCAAGGCACGTTCCTGCCTCAACAGGAGCTGCACAACCTTGGGATTGGGCCCTGGTCTCACTCTCTTCCCTGTGCAATGCTTTAGGGAAATGAGTTCAGAACTGTGGGGTCCGGTTGACTTGTGGCCCCTCCATGTCCCAGGGAGGCCCTGGGAGCATTTCAAGGGATTTTTCAGGAGACACTGAGCATCCCACCCTGTGGAAAACTCCCAAAGGAGCTCTGCATTCACCTCTAAGCAGCATCAGCGACGCTGGGGAAGAGGGAACACGCTCCAAGGTCACAGAGGGGTCTTCCCGACAGCAAAGACCCACCTCGTTCCCACCCAGCACCAGCTACAGGAGATTTTGGTTGCTTTGGTGGGTCCTTCCAAGCCTGTGGTATAGTGTCCTGGTCATCTTTACCCCAAGAATCCATGGGATGAGTTAAGCCCATCATCTTCTGGTGAGGAGGGTGGGAGGAAGGTGCACCCTGGAGCTGCAGCGTGGCCATCAGCTTGTTGACCAGCGTGGATGGGTCTTCTCCACCTCTCCTTGCTCTCTCTGAGCTGACTGCATCTTAATATCAGGTATATCCTCCAGTCCTGCAGAAATCATGGACAGCAAGAGGTAGCATGAAAGGTCCATGGCTTGCCCAAATCATCAGCTTGGCCATTTTGCTTTAACCCAACCCAGCAGGAATCCAAAGTCCTCCCTCCTCCTTCAAGCACCACCCAAGGCCATGCCTGCCCAGCCCCCTCAGAGGTGGGAATTTCCCAGGGGTTACAGTTACACCACAGCAATGGGGAATCTCATTAATTACTCGTTCAGCTGAATGGTGGTAACGAAGGCACGGGACATATCGAGAATCATGTTTGCATGGCAAGTGGCACAGGAACACCCAGAGAGGGTGATGCTCCACAGAAAGGCCTGAAGTTGTTACAAGGACGTCAGAAGACTTGATACAAAAAGCTGGCTCATTAAAAGCTAATGAGGGAATAAATTATGCACCCACTCAGGTGGATTGTGTTTCTCCCTCCTCATCACCATCTCCATCACCTTCCTGCTCACTGCTTTCTGTCCCACTTGGGATTTTTTTCTGCTTTATTTTCCTACTTTGCAGGACTTATATCTGATCATCACCAAAAGCCTCAAAGCTGAACCCAGCCTCTCCTCAGGTGATGCCCAAATCCATCCGGAGCAACCCAAGGGATCACCTGCCACCCTGAGCCCTCCCTGAGGAGGGCCAGACACTTCCCCCCTCACACCAGGGCTGCTCCTGCTCCCAGAGCCCCCTCGATGCCCTGGAAACCTGAAAGAGAAGCTCCAGGCAGCAAAACAAAAGCTTTCCAGCATGTTTTTCTGCAGGATGTGCCGTGCCCTGCCTGCCATCTGCCCGGCCCGGCGGGAGCAGCCGGTGCTGGGAGCAGCCAAGCGCCAGCAGCTCCACTCCAGCCACGCTCCAGTGGGTCCCTGGCAGGTGGAGAGGGGTGGGGAAGGCTGAGAGAGGAGAAAAAGGGAGGGGTTCTGCACTTGGGACTTGGGGTTCCCAACATCCCCAAAAACCAGCTCAGGAGAAGGGAAAGCTGAGACTGAGTCAGTGAAAGGAGATTTGGGGGTTCCCCGTTCCCCGACTTGGCCGCTGCCCCAGTGCTAAGAGAGTTCTGGCATCTGCCTTGGCAGAGCATTCCCAGCTGGGATAAGGCAGCAGCTGCCTGGGCTGTGGGCAGGCTGGCACTGCCACCCGCTGCTGTTTCAGCTGGGACAGCGATTTTGCCTCTTCCCTTCCCCAGCCACGTTTCCCTCCTGGTCTGTGGGCAGCACTCCGGTGTCTGCCCGACACTGAGCCGGGTCTGTCCCGCCCACTGCTCCCTCCTGAGCTCTAAATCCCCGTCCTGAGTCCATCTGCAGAGCTGTTAAAGGGAACCAAAGTCTGTGGGAGTGAGTGTTCTGGTAAACACCTTGGATTCCACCACCCCTGTGCTTTGGGGTTGGCTCCTGCCAGTCAGAGGGAAAACAGGGGATGCTCACACAGGAGAACTCTCCACTATTACTTTGATTTTGAGGTGTCAGATACCCCAACCACTTCCCCAATACACAGAGGAGGTGAAGAGCATTTAGGACAGAGCCAGGAGTGACATCCCAGCCTCTGGACCAGCTCTTTGATGGAAGGAGGATGGTCCCTGTGCCCTGAGGCCCCTTTTCCCAGCTCTCCACCTTCTCTAACCTTCCATTACCACTTTCTCTGCCCACTCTGATTTCATGGCCGGGGCTATGCAATCCCTCATGCCCACGGTGGGGCAATCTGATCCCCCTCCCCTTGTCAGACTGTCCACAGACACCATCACTGATCAACCCAGACCCTACAGTGACCCCAGTGAAGTCCCTCCCTGCGGGACTTGATGCCCAATTCGATGCTTCCCCAGCTCCTGTTCCGTACCTGTCACCTCCCCGATGGGTTTGGATAACCCCAACCCACGTCACAGCAGCTCCTGGTCACCAAAATCAGGCTATTCTGTATCAGTAATAGGAGACTCCCAGCACCTCTGACCAGGGCACATGTCTGCTCCCTGGGGAGAGCAGCATCTCACCCCCCTGTCCATGGAGGATGGCATCAAAGGATCCTTCTCCAGCCTGAATTTAATCCCCCAACAGTCTCCTCCCTGAAGGGTCGTTGCTGCATCATTTTTCTTCAGCCAAAGGATGGGGAATCACAAAATGGTTTGGGTTGGGAGGGACCTCACAGCTCATCTCCTTCTGTGGGCAGGGACACCTTCCACTAGCCCAGGCTGCTCCAAGCAACCTGGCCTGGGACACTTCCAGCAATGAGGCACCCACAGCTTCTCTGGGCTGAAGGAAAGGAGAGGGAGATGGTTTCTTTTCAGATAATGGGGGAAGCAAAACCACACGGATGGAAAATGAAAGGCTGAAGCAAGGTCATAATGAAATTCTGCCCCCTGGGAGCCCCTGGAAACCAAGGAAATATGGAGGAGGGGGAGGAAAGTGGGAAATTAGGTCCTTTCTTCTCTCTGCACATGCTGGGGACAGCCAGGAGGAAGGCAAGGGGGTGGCTGTAACTGGGCTCAGGGGAGGGGAAGCTCCTCCTGGGAGGTGCAGGAGACAAGGATGAGCCAACATCCATCCTGAATGGACATTCTTGCTTTATGGAGTCACAAGGTCAAGCACAGCATCACTTCATTGTCTCAGAACCCTTTCCAAAGCGAGATTACAGGTGGGGAAACTGAGGCACGAGAGGGTTGAGCTGCCAAAACATCCCTCACACGGGGTGTGGGAGGTGCAGGTTTGTTCCCTTCACTCCTCTTTCCATCCACAGCCTGAGGGAGCAGCTCTGCCTGTTCAGGTTCCTTCAGCTGAGCCTCCAAATCATGCTCCTGCAGCAGCTGGAGCCTTGGAACAGCCAGAAGAGCTTGCTGGTGTCTCCAAAGCAGCAGTCTCTGTCTGCTCTTTGGTTACTGGCTCTTGTCGGCCACGGGTGACTCTGAAAAAACGACCAAGAAAATTAAAGTTACTGTCAGTAATCTTAAATTCACCTTGCAGGGAAAGTGTGCCCCTTCTGGAGAAGCTTCAGTGGACAGTAAACCACAAAAAAAGATCAAAATAGCTCGTACCAGGCATTAAATCCAACAGTGCCCCTGTCTGGGGGATGGAAATACAGCAGCTTCATCCAGGAGGATTTTTACAGCACGACACATTTATTTAAATCTCACCAGGATTTGGGACAACCCAGAGGCTCCAGGATCCACTGGCTGCATCCAGCCCCAAATCCAGGACTGTGCTGCTGAGGAATTGGGGTTCTCTGCAGGGGGGAGGGAGGGAACGTGGCTCATTCATCCCAAAAAAGGGTCCTGCAGGTCTTGGCAAGTGGCTGTGGTATGACAGCTCCTGCCAGAAGAGGACAGTGGCGCCCGTGTTTTATTTAGGAATGCACCAAGAGGGGTGGAGAGGGCTCGAGTTCCATCTTTGCTCTTAAAAATCACCCATTTCAACACCCACAGCAGGATCTGAGGGGGATCGAGGCTCCTCCATCGAGCTGTGGGTGCAGAGAACATCAGCTGCAGCAGGGCTGGGCTGCTGGGAGGGAGAGGGGATGAGTTCCAATGAAAACTGAGTCTGGAGCCATGTTTTCACCTCCAATAAAATAGGATTTACTGGGCCTTGGAAAGGTGAGAAGGGAGCTGCTTCAGTTGGTGCCACCACTCCTAGGAAGGAGATAAAGGGTGTGCATGGACTGAATATTCCTCTTCCTGCACTCAGGTAGAGAAAAAACCAGAATGGAAACACCTACATATCAATATGAATTTAAATATGATATTAATATGCATATAAATATCATATAACTACACAGGAACAAGGATTCAAGCTGTTCCCTGTGTCTTGACATACTTTCCTGACCCCAAACTGAGGTCATCTGACCCCAAAGGTGAGCCTTGCCCACAGCAGAGGGGCTGGCACAGGCTACCAGGAGAATTCCTGGCCTGGAATTACAAAGCTGAGGATCTAAGTGGGAATCTGCCAGGCCCCACTCAGGACCCGGGGTCCTGCTGCTGCTCCTTGCACTGGGGAGGAAGGTGAAGGTGGGAATATTGGGTGGGACTTTCTTGCTACCAAAAATCACCAAATTAGGGATGTAGGAGCAAAACACCCCATGGATTCAGCACCAGCTCTCAGGTGTTGCAATGAGAGATGGAATCAGAGCTGTTTCATGTGCTGAACCTCCAGTCTGTGCATCTCCCTCTAAAAAACATTCACCGCAGGATGAAGAGCCAGGATTGTCCACAAACAAGTGTTTTCTCGGCCCCACTCCTCTGGGGCAGGGGGAAAAGGGCCTCTTGGTGATGGACACCAATGTTTGGATGCTGCAGGAACTGGGAAGGACCTGTTTCCACTTCAAATTCCTGCAAACCCCTCCCTTTCCTGCTGGCTGGGAGCTCAAACAGGCTCAGTAACCTTCACTCCTGTGATGGAGGGAGGACACAAAGGGCAAAGAGCCCGTCCAGGAAGGGTCTTGGTGGAGATGAGCCTTCCCAGCATTCCCCTCAAATACTGTTTTCTTTCCCCAAAGCTCAACCCTTGCAATCCAAAACCCGAGAGAACTCCCAGAGCTTGGCAGATCCACGTGATGACCTGTCACATCCCACTTCATCAGCTCCCTCTGCAGCCCTGCTTGACCAAGCAGAAATGATGGGAAAAGACCTGACAGGCAGGAGCCCCTTCTCCTTCCTTTAATTCCTTCAGCCATTCCCTCCCTTTTCCTGATGTTTAAAACCTCCTGTGGCTCCTCAGCTTCTGCAAACCTGCAGTGATGGCCCTGGAATTTAAGGGGGGACAAGAGCCCTCTGGAAAATTTACCCTGTTTGGGATGGAAAAGAGAAAAAACACCCACTCAGCACCGAGCAAGTCCCTTGGGCTGGGCGAGATTGCACTTAAACGTGGATAGAATCATCAGGAGTTCTTGGACACTGAAATATCTGTCACCCCACAGCTTTCCAGGGGCAAAATATTTAAAATAAATGTTTTAAAAAAGAAAAAAAATCAGCATTTTTTCCTAACTCCAGGTGGCTCCTGGGGAGCCAAAGCTTCCCCTCCACCCCCCATCCATTCTCCTGCTCCTGCCAGCCCAGCAGGAATCACCCCCCACGCCCCTCCTTCCCACCGTGTGTGCCCGGAAAAGAGTTGGGAAAATTTGCTGCTGTAAAACAAACCAACCCACAGAAACCCACCTCGGCTCATCCCTCCCATTAACAATCTCTCTTCCCCCTCTCGGGATCCCACAGGGGAGGAGGATGAGACAGGAGCTGCCAGAAAACTGTCACAACATCCCCGGCACCGCTGCCTGTGAAATGCAGATCCGCTCCCTCCGACAGCCACGTCCTGGCTTTTATTCCTGCCTAAGGATCTAAACTCAACCCATCCCTCCCTTACACTCTTCGTGGCCCCACTCACCTGCTCAAATTCGAGATCAGTACATACCTGGCTGTCCCAGTAACACCAGCAGACCGGGGATGGTCCTAAACTGGTCTCCCTTTGCCAGACGTCCTTTCCTAACCTCAGGCAGGTGGAGCTGCTCACCAGATTATCTCTCCTTAGGTGCCCAACTAACCCGCAGCCTTGGGAGGCTCCAAATTCTCTGAGAATGCAAATTAGCTGCTTTTCCTGGTGGTTGGGACCAGAAAATCTGGGTGAAAATCTAGGAATGGATAGGGAATAGGAAGGCAAAGGTGATGGTGCTGGGCATCCTGTGTGAGCCCAGATCCAGGGTGATGGCAGCCTCCTCCCTTCCCATTCCCCACTGTTTCCCTAAGAGGGTGAAAAGCAGTGATGGAGATGCTGGACCATCCATGAAGATGCAGGATCAGCTATGGAGATGCTGGACCATCACTGAGGGTTGGCCCATCCTCTCTGTCCCACAGATCCCAAGCAGAGACAAATTCCAGCAGAGTCCAGTAGGGCTCTGCAGCACAGTCCCCAAGGTGCACATCCCTGGAGATGTGACATGGGAAAAGTCTGGAGGTATCATCCCCATCCCTGTCCTTCTCCATGGTCCTTCCTGGAGGAGCCAGGGGCAGACAAACCTCTGTTTGCACCCACAGAACAGCGAGATGTCCTGCACCCCTTGGAGAGCTGAACTGGGGGAGCCTCCACGTGCAATTCCCAAGTGGGAAATAGCTCCCTGGGAAATAATCCTGCTGGGATTAGGGAGAAACACTCCTTTTCATCCTTTCCAACATTAGCTGCCCCTTGGCAGCCCATGTCCTGACTCAGCCCTGCAACTTGCCACCATCCTCCCAACTCCGGGGGGCCTCTTGGAAAAAACTTTTAAGCAAAATATTAGAGTTGTTCCCCCCAACTGTGATAAATTCCTGAAATCTGGGAAGGCAGAGGTTGGCTTTGGGGGTTCACAGTGGGAGTTCCTCTTGAAATCCCACATCAAACTGGATCTGCCTCTGGTTTGGGCACAGGGACAGAGATAGCCCCTGGCCTGGGCTCCCCCCATCCTTGCTGGAATAAAAGGTCAAAATAAGAACTGTATTTCTTGGAGCCAGGAATGACTAATTCTCCTCTGGGAGCAAAGAAATAATTACGGGTCTTTCCCAGGGAAGGGAGAGCCCTTAATTATGAAGCTGAGCAAACCCTCGGCGTAACCTTCGGAATTTCTCTCCTCCTCTGATCAGCTCCTGGCACCTGATTTCTCCATTCACTAAGTGGGAATGATCCCTCTCTCCCACCTCACTGGCATGACACAGCCCTCACTGGGACACCTCCGTGGGATTAATTCTGCAGAATCATTCCATTTTTTTTTTGGTTTTATTGTTGAATAAATTCTTAGGGAAGCCCCAGAGGTGGTACGTGCCCACTCATGCACAAACAGGGAAATTCAGCTTTTTCCATCTACAGAAATCCAGGGAATCCTCTGTTTGCAGGCTAATGGTGCTCACCAGGCATGGAACTGGTGCTGCTCCATAAGAACCCCCGGATTTTGGGATGCAGGCATCCAAATGCTGCCTTTAATTTCCTCTGGGGGGAAGGGGGGGCCGCTAGGAAACCCTTTCCCAAGAAAAGCTAAAAAATCATCAGTTACAAACCCAATCCCCCAGATCTCTGGCTTGTGGCTGTTTTGGGCATTGGAAAACTGAGACATGGAGGGATCGTTCTCCCAGCGCAGGTGGGAGCTGAGCCCAGGGCCAAAAGGGGGCAAAACCCAACTGCATCTGTGGAGTCCAGGGATCAAATGCCCATGGAGACATGTGGGATACACACATGGGGTGTCCAGCAAGTCTGGTTGGATCCCACGCTTGGGAAGGGAGTTTATAGGATGGATAATGGGAAAATGCCTCTTGGATCTTGGCATGGGTGGAGAGCAGCTGCTCAACCGCCCTGGCAGCCCCGTGGGGCTCAGTCCTGCTCTGTGCTGCACCAGGAGCTGCTTCCCGGCTTCCCACTCCTCCTCGTGCTGCTCCAGGAAGGATTTGCAGCCTCTGCGGGGCCGAGGGAGCTCTGAAACCCCTTTTGAATTCTGCTCTCGCCGGGGATGGAGAAGGAGGCAGAGCTGCAAATCCAGCAGCCTCATTCCACGCCTCCCGCCGCCCGCAAGGAACGAGCAACAGCCTGGGAAGCTGGAGGGGAAGGGATCCTCCCGCGGCGGGAACCAGGGGAGCCGCGGGACAGGGATGTGCTGGGGAATCAGGGGAGCCGCGGGACAGGGATGTGCTGCGGGAATC